AGTGGTGAACCTTCGGTGCAGCCTGTGTCTCTACACAGGTGCCGGAAGCTGGTTCCACAGTGCAGTGGACTTCTACACTGTGATCTTGTGCAATCTTACTAACGACCGTACCACAAGTAATGCCGTCGCACTCACTCGTAGTACATCCACACGCTTATGGACGCTCCAAGACGTTCATCAGATGGCCATACGATGAACAAACGGCAGGCATCTTCACGGATCGATGCTGCCAGCTAACACATGGCCGGTACTTAATAATCCATGGTAGACCGTGGATGACATCAAATCTGTCATCTAAATCTAGTACGATAAAGTCATCATCGTATTGTTTTCCTTCTAGCGTGTTGTAAATTCCCACTACACGTTTGTTCACTGTTACGGATGCGCCTGTAGCAAGGTACACCGTCATCCTCGTTGGAGGGAACTCTCGCTCAACAAAGTTGAGTCTACTATCTTATAGCGTATGGTGTCGTTTAAAACTGTTCGACGCCCCAGGGTCAACTAGGGCGCGAAGTGACATTCACTTGTCACTTCGATCTTCAAAGTGATGAGGGAATCCTCATCACTGGGGGGAGTAAAAGTAAGCAAATGTGTGTTGGGAGCAATCTTCGTCAAGAGCCCTGCAAATTCTCTTGACGTTGCTGGATCATCAGGGTGATCCGCCCAAACTAACTTTGACCGTTTTTTGGCGGTCCAACTTGCTGTCGGGGGTTAGTGATATGGTCGGACCCGCGCCTTGGACTTTTCCCCGGCTAACAGCGGTCATCACGTCCTGTCTTTGGACGTGATGCGGTGCTTGGAACACTACACTCATGAGCGTAGTGTCCGATATTCTGACAGCTATGGCATCTTGCCGTTTGCTTGTGACTCAGAGAGCGAGAGTTTTAGGTCCCGATATAACAGAGGTCCATTAGTTCGGGACCTCCGGTTTTCTGTCGTCTCGTCGGACGATATCTTGACGAGTTAACCTGAGACTGTCTCAGACTGAAGTCTTCTTGTTCCGAATACGCTATCGCCTTTTCCAGCGCATGGAAGTCCTCTTGGAACATGTAGGTCTTCAACGGTCCATATTTAAGGACGTGGATGGACACGATGATGAGTGTGTGCTCATCAACAGGTATTCCGTGACGCTACCCGCAACGTAGCGTAGGTGTTGTGCGTAAGCATGCACGTCACACTTACCTCGTTTGAGCCTCAGGCGTGAAGAATTTGCTTAGAACTCGGCCCTTGGCGTCTTAAACGTCTCTTTGAGCCGAGAATTCAAGGTCTCTAACGACTCAAACACGTTTGGGTCGTGAAGCTTGAGCCCTAAAACCCGAGTCTTTGCTCGTCCTGTCAAATTTTGCAGGGCGAAGGTGACCTGCATCTCGTCACCCTCGATGTGACGGGCCCTTACGGCATCGTCTAACTCGACGAACAACCTCGAAGGGGAATTGTCATCGGTTCCCCTGTACCTTGAGATATCTATTTCAAGGTTTTGGGTCGACGCATGTGCGTTGGCCCGCCCATCGACTGAGAGCCTTGTTGTTGTAGCAAGGCTATATTCTGTCTTACGACGGCTAGTTCCCCTTGTAGGAACTTGTTGATAGCAGCATGTTGCTAGTTTCTGCTTAGAGACTCCAACATGCCACTGATGGCGGGTTCGCCAATGAGCGCACTCATGCGGCCGACTATCTCCCATTCTGAGTCACTCGGATGGGAGCAGCCTTCACGTAAGACGTGAAAGCTGTCGTCTTTAACGTCCAACATGTTTATGCTGGACGGACACTAAGTAGTCGTTGGACAGACTACGAAGTGCTACCAGGTGTAACGGGGCACCATTTGTCTGGGGTGCCACGAAACTTCACGTACACTAGTACGTGCAGAGGAAGCTAATCTACTCAAACAGCTAGTTTGAGTAAAGGTAAAAAGAGAACTGTATTTAATATAGTTAAACATCAATGTTACTTCAGTATTTATCGAACGATATCAATCTACATTGTCGTATGACGACAGCCTGCTCACCACTCATTACGCGCGTCTAGTAGCGATTGGCGGTAATCTTGGTTGATATGTCTTATATCAACCAATCTTTGAGCAGCATATGAATGTAATCCTAAAAGAAGATAATATTCCTTCAGTATTATCCATCTCGGATAATATTGGTAGGGAATTGTCACGCTAGACGATCTCCCTATTGACACCGTTTGGTGTCAATATCATGTAACGGGCTACCATGTTACACGTCATGCGTGGCTCAGCCTGATGCAAAGTGTTGTCTCTTGTTCAGAAGAAGGCGCTAGTAATGTTCAAGGCCCTGAGCTAGATTCGCGCTCGAGGGCCCTAATGCCATTTTACGCTTAGCCTCACTTTGCGGTCGCAGCACTAACATTGGTGGACTTTGGGTCCGCTCCACTATAAGCATACCTGCACCAGACCGCCAAATACTTGTTAAGTGCTAACATGATCCGCTGCGACGTGTGATACGTACGCTGGCTTTTGGTGGCTACATTAACGATGCGATATCCATCCCACACGCCTGCCTCGTGGTGTGTAGAAGACCCGGGTGTATCATATTTTGTGTCTGCGGCCCTTCGTACCTGATCCGATTGTAGGAAAAATAATCAGAATCCGTTCCCATGACTCCATAGTCCGTTCGAATACACCCCACGACCAACTTGTCCGTCAAATCATGGACTTCCGCGGCAGCGACCTCGTCAGACACTTGATTACGATGGTGATAAGATGATATGCATTGCGATACTTTGAGAATACTCTCCTCGCCGCGATGTCGACACGATACCAGCAGATCCAAGTGCTGTGCACTTGTATCGCCTACCAGGTCGCAGCTTACGGCGGCCATCTGTTGTGCCGCCAGGCTCGTATAGATCCACTCCTGAATATCGTTGTCGAGAGATGGTGTATATGATCGAGGGTCGCTAGCTTGTTGACTATCGCTGTCTGCACCGGTCCTTTGACTCCATTGCAATGTTAACAGCATGGTAGACCATCTTGTACTACTCCTTATAATCACGCGTCCAGCTCCGGACGCCATATCGTCTGCGCAACATTGGGCGTTGTCATAGAGCTGTCTAAAGCACAAAGGCTTTTTGGCAACCTATGCTGCCAAATTGTGTTACCCATTGATCGTCGCACTGTCACCGATCACGTGCAGAGGAGGACAGTCATCCGCCGCTGCCCGACGCAATCCGTAGACCATGTCCCAGTATTCGGCAGTGTCATTCGTATCAAATCGGACGATCACTGAGACAGCACCACCTGGACCCGGATTTCCTCTCGTAACCGTAGTGTTCCACTGTCCGCGGAGTGCCGCATCCGATGCCGATTCGTCGAACGACAGTCTCGTCCGACTTTCGAGCAAAAGCACGTGATCAAGAGCGTGGCATTTGCAATAGACAGCGCGCTACTTGTCACGGAAGACCCCGAGGAATTGATCTGTGCGTAAGTTTAGTACGACGCAAGTAAAAGAGCAGTTTGCACAGGCATTGCGAGGGGGCGTGATTTTGACACCGTCGCTGCCGCTTGCAGAGATGCACAAGTTGACACGTTTAAAATGTGGGGGCAAGCGACAGCGGTACGGTCTCGAACGTACTTTTATAGTAGCGCAGAGACGTTTGTTCAGAGCGGAGACGAAGGTAACGGATAGAGTGCAGTAGTCGCAGCCCTTGCAAGTAGATTGTCACTAACATATTGACGCAGTCATGGTGTCGTGCGATGATTATTAGGCGGTCTTTCGCGACATGTCGAGTCCTTGTCGTTCGTGATAGGAGAGCTCTGCGTTCGATAGTGATGCCCATCTCATCTGTATTGTCGTTTCGTTACGGGCGACCGGCCTTCTTACCCAAGATGGAAAGTCCCCTATCATGGGACCCAGATTGAAGACGAGAAGCCTTCTTGCCGCTGCGTGCGCTACGGGAGGCAGCGCAGCGTGAAAACCGAAAGGGGAGCAATAATCCAGACACCCGAGGTGAGGGGTGCGGCAACAGCGGTTGTCATTCCCTCCCACCTAGTACCTACTATTCTACTTCAGCCTTCGAGTTGTCGGTCCAGTTGCCGAGCACAACTCCCGATCCCCACAAGACGTGAACTTGCCTAGAACGTGATCAAGATCAGCCTAGTCCAGGTATGTCAGCGGCCCATCGGGGATGACCAGTCTGGTTCCCGGCGTTTCCTGCGACTTCAGCGCCCTGTCTGCACCCCGGACTGGACATCCGATTCCACGCGCCCTCTGCGAAGTGTCCCTTGTGATGACCAAAGAGCCGAGTCAAGCAGACTAAGCGAGCGAAGAGAAGATGATGTAGTTCAGGCAGCAGCACACCGATATCGTACAGGGCATAAGCACTTAATCGACGTTCAGGGTTTACTACCTCCAGTGCCCGTCAGTTCGTTGCAGGGTGGTGGATAATGCACATAGAAGAAGTGACATACAGGGCCAGAGGGGAGTCATCCCGACTCGTGACGACCATAGAACACTAGGGACAGGAAGAGGTATTGCGACATTCGCTAACAAGCGGTTTTCTCGCAACCAGCTGGCAGAATCAGTACGAAACAGAAGAAGTACAAGTCTGCAGCTGAAGCAGTTACCTCATGCAAGGTCAGAAGATCGAGTCTGTTTGATGCATCGAGCCCTTGCATTTTGTCAAGTATCCAGCGCCGCTATTGACTTACCTGGCCATGGATGTACTCGCAACTTGATAGCTCTTTTGCCTCTGTGCTTGCGTAGACCCCAGTGTCACTTTTCCACGACACGACAACTCAGGAGTTGACGAAAAAAAAAACCCAGCAAAACCATGCGACACAGTGGCAGAAAGAGCATCGAGCGACCATCTGGTACGAAGGAAGTCGTGCGGTAACACAGGCAGCCGGTACGGAAGTCGAGTCGGGTGTTGAGGTCGATAAACTGCGTGCCAGGCCAATTTCTATAAACTGTATGCATGCCAGTCCAAGCTCTTTGAACTGCATATCATGCCAAGAAAACGAGCATACCTGACCCTAGAGAGATGAGGGAGCTGCCCTTGCACAAGGGAACTTGTGCACGACAAATCGTGTCCATCGGTCTCTCCCGGGTTGCGACCGACCGTAATCACTTGACGATTCGCGTGCTGCTGCCCCCTTTGTCGATGATTCCAGTATACAAAATGCATCACCACGCCCTCGCGCTCTTGGTGGCTGGACTTCTCCTATCATGTGGCGACAGTACCTCGGCTGGTGTTACATTGGAGCAAACTTCAGCCAGTTTTCGTCCTCAAGGCCACTTGTTAGTAGACAACCCGAATAGCGCTCAGCAGCATGAGCCGTTGCTGAGAAGTGCCAAGAGAGTTTACAATGCCGGCGACGAGAGGATGCTATTTCCGGGAGGTGAGATGGTAGTCCATCAGCTCGAAGCAACTTCGCTAAAGGCGGACAAGTCGATGTGGTCCAAGGGTTGGACGAGACTAAAGAAGATCGTCCGTGGTTCCCATGGCCAACTGCAGTTTGGAGACGATGTCGTGATGACTCTGCAAAATTTGAACAAGGAAGCTTTGTCAAGAAAGTACAAGGTCCCGCACAAGTCAGAGAAAGTGTCGTTGCTTGAGGCTCTGACGGTGCGTTACGGAATCGGTCCGGTGGCAAACGCGCTTGCTGCTGTGAAGCAAGGTCCTAAGAGCGCGGTGGATGAGGGCATTGTTGATAATCTGTACATGGAACAGATTAAGAAGTGGCGGAGCGAAGGCAAGCTCGCATCTGACGTTGCAGGGACACTTGGTATTGAGCACGATCACGTGCTTACCCAAAAGCTGAAGATGGTGGAAGACTACATCAATTCTATTGACGAAGAGTCAGGCATCGAGAACCATCTTCTCGAGGCCGTAACGACAGTCCTGGGTGGTGAGAATAATGTGGCGTTGTTCATAGGAGAGGCTAGGATGAAGAGCGTCGCAACGAGTGAAGCCGAAAAACTGGAGGGGCTGCTGATACAAAAGTGGCTGGACGAGAACATGCACCCTACGGACCTGTTGACGCGACTTAAGATCGACAAAAGTGCCGAAGACCTGATGAGTCCGATGCTGGAGACGGTGGTGAAGTACGTCGCCGCATTCAACACAAAGAATCCAGGCTCTGAGTTCTCGCTGTTTGTTCACGCCAGAAAACTATACAAAGACGAACTTCTGGTGAATGCTGTTATTGCTGCCAGGCACGAATATGGCGGGAGTTCCATTGCAAAAATTGCCGAGCAGTGGCAAAATCTGCTGCTGAAGGACTGGCATGCACACAAAAAAACGATTCCAGACGTTGTTAAGTTGCTAATCTATGATCAGGAGGAAGCATTAGCGTTAAGGCTTGAGGCGTGTGAAGAGTACATCAAGCTTTCCAAGACCGGAACGTCAGGCGACGACATCCTTCTGGAAAGCTTGATGACAGTTCTCGATGGTGAGAAGGGTGTGGCGTCTTTCGTTGGAAAGGCTAAGATGAATGTCGAAACGAAGAATGTAGCTGAGAAAGTTGAGGGGCTGCTGATACAAAAGTGGCTGGACAAGAACATGCACCCTATGGAACTGTTGGAGCGACTTGAGATGGATGGGGAATTTGCCGAATACCTGATGAGTCCGATGCTGGAGACGGTGGTGAAGTACGTCGCCGCATTCAACACAAAGAATCCAGGCTCTGAGTTCTCGCTGTTTGTTCACGCCAGAAAACTATACAAAGACGAACCTCTCGTGGATGCTGTTATTGCTGCCAGGCACGAATATGGCGGGAGTTCCATTGCAAAGATTGCCGAGCAGTGGCAAAATCTGCTGCTGAAGGACTGGCATGCACACAAAAAAACGATTCCAGACGTTGTCAAGTTGCTAATCTATGATCAGGAGGAAGCATTAGCGTTAAGGCTTGAGGCGTGTGAAGAGTACATCAAGCTTTCCAAGACCGGAACGTCAGGCGACGACATCCTTCCGGAAAGCTTGATGACAGTTCTCGATGGTGAGAAGGGTGTGGCGTCTTTCGTTGGAAAGGCTAAGATGAAGGTCGAAACGAAGAATGGAGCTGAGAAAGTGGAGGGGCTGCTGATACAAAAGTGGCTGGACAAGAACATGCACCCTATGGAACTGTTGGAGCGACTTGAGATGGATGGGGAATTTGCCGAATACCTGATGAGTCCGATGCTGGAGACGGTGGTGAAGTACGTCGCTGCATTCAACACAAAGAATCCAGGCTCTGAGTTCTCGCTGTTTGTTCACGCCAGAAAACTATACAAAGACGAACCTCTCGTGAATGCTGTTATTGCTGCCAGGCACGAGTATGGCGGGAGTTCCATTGCAAAGATTGCCGAGCAGTGGCAAAATCTGCTGCTGAAGGACTGGCATGCACACAAAAAAACGATTCCAGACGTTGTCAAGTTGCTAATCTATGATCAGGAGGAAGCATTAGCGTTAAGGCTTGAGGCGTGTGAAGAGTACATCAAGCTTTCCAAGACCGGAACGTCAGGCGACGACATCCTTCTGGAAAGCTTGATGACAGTTCTCGATGGTGAGAAGGGTGTGGCGTCTTTCGTTGGAAAGGCTAAGATGAAGGTCGAAACGAAGAATGGAGCTGAGAAAGTGGAGGGGCTGCTGATACAAAAGTGGCTGGACAAGAACATGCACCCTATGGACCTGTTGGAGCGACTTGAGATGGATGGGGAATTTGCCGAATACCTGATGAGTCCGATGCTGGAGACAGTGGTGAAGTACGTTGCTGCATTCAACACAAAAAATCCAGGCTCTGAGTTCTTGCTGTTTGTTCACACCCGAAAACTATACAAAGACGAACTTCTGGTGAATGCTGTAATTGCTGCGAGGCGAAAGTATCTCGGGAGTTTTACTGCAGGTATTGCCGAGCAGTGGCAAAATCTGCTGCTGAAGGACTGGCTGGACGAAGACAAATCCGTTGACGAAGTTGCTGTGTTTTTGCAACTCCATGGCGTCCGATTTGCAAAACCTTTGGTCGAAAAAAGACTGGAAGTGTTAAGCGATTACGTGAAGCTGTGCAACGAAAAGAGTCTCCGACAAGACACAGATTTATCGTCCGGTACACAGAGTGGAGGTGGTGACATTGCTTTTGCGGTTTGGCTTTCCAAGGCGATGGATGGGATGACAATCAAGCCTAGTAGTCTCGAAAGATACCGAAAAGAGCTATTCACCAGGTGGAATAAAGCCAATGTGTTCCTACCAACCCTCCGCGATCAATTGTCAAATGTTGAAAAAAAGCGATTCGGCCCACGTGGAATCGATCTTGAGTCAGTACGGGACGTTTTTGCACTACAAAAAGCCAAGAAGGCGTCAGAAGGCAAAGCATTGAGATGTCTGGATTCGTTTGAGCGTTCGGTCGAGCTGCTGCTATCGCAACAACTGTCCCAGCATTTTCCATACATTGTAAACGTTTCGCGCAGGTAATATGAAGTCGTATATCAATCGTGAATTCCAGCGAAGATGACTCCGGCAAGACCGTCTGCCTTTAACCACGAAGATACCGCAAAACTCGGATCGTACGTCTTTTTCGTTGGTTGGCAATCCGTCTCGGATTTTCGTATGCAAGCATCAAGCTGACCGCTTTTGGAAATGTTCTGCCTTGGCTTCTCTCTTTGTTTACAGCAAGTTACAAGTGGAAGGTAATCCGAGTCTCTACATCACGCAGCTTTACATCGTTCATACAAGTACTCAGGTGATCGAAAACTTTACGAGCTTGGGAGGACAGTTTGTTTTTGATTAATCCAAGCACAGCCAGCTAAAAGATGTGACTTTTGTGAACACGAGAACAGTGCGGCTGAAGCAGTTTGAACGTACCTTGGTGTTGTGAAGAGCAATAGAGGACGAGATATGCGGGTTACGAGGTGAGCACCAAGGAGTCGCTCAATCACTTGCCCACTTTGACTTCAACGCAGATAGGGACAGATCCATGGCAACTTGCAGCAACACATGAATGTCCGTCCAAGTCTGGAATCACACCAATGGTTCAGTCGAGTATCAAGTGTGGGCAGTGCATCGCACACAACAACCAAGGAGCTGAACCTACAGCACGCCGACAACTAGAATATCAATCCTCACCAGGTGAAGAACACCGCAAGAAACGAACATGGAACTGCAACAACGGCGGTACATGGAGCCAGCTCCGGGTAGTTCTTGAATCATGAAGTCAACGTCCAAAGGGACTACCAGCTAACACGATCGTCAGCCACGATGAGTCCTGGCTCAGGACGTTTCAGATATCTTGCCACTAACGTATTGCAAACAGACGACATGAAACCCCTTCAAAATCGTCTGATGAGTCGTGGTGTATGCGCTGCTGTATAAAATGAGTTGGTAGAGCTTTTGGCGGTTCATCAAATTGGTCGACATCAGATCCTGCATGGAAGAAGTTGTCACAAACGCGACTTCGTCTCCCTGTAACAGTCACAAGCTCACGTTCCTACTTCAACGTCTTGATCAGAAAACGCCTGGTCAAACATTGAGACAGTGGATCCAAGAAGCATGCAATCGACCATCAACAAAGTTCAGTGCAAACGGTATTGGAGCAGTGTCCAGTCCATTCAAACCTTACGATCACGACCTTCAGCCACTTCTTGCACCACTTACAACGAAAACGAGCCGTCGTCCTTTGTCGTCACCACTGCATAAAACTGTCAACCCGCTACAGGTCAAGAAGATGAAGAGATCTCCTGAAAGCGGCTGTTATATTATTCCGATAGTCGATCGGAGCCAAGGCGGTCGTCAAATTGACCGAGGCAGTCCGCTTTAGGCCTCTACTCAACCGTGACGCCCCCCTTCTGGCACACGTAAATGTAGTGCACGGCATTTGCATCCGCCTCCGAGACCTGCACTGCACTCACAGTGGGTTTCGCCACCGTGTGCACCGTGACTTTCCACGGCAGCTCCTGGTTCTCAAAGTAGCTCAAGCGATTCGTCGGGATGCCGTACGACACGACAAAGTAGACGCCATTGGGCTTGAGCACCCGATAGACCTCATGGCACATTTTTGACACATTGGCCGTTGAGCCTTCGCCACACAGGATCGAGTCCATTGTGCCCTTGTCCACGACGGCGTCAAAAGTCTCGTCTCCAATTTTCAGCGAGCACATGTTCATCTGCTGCCACTGGAGCTGCTCGACGAGGTCCTCGTACTTGGTCGCCATTTGCTTGACAACCACGTCCGAGATGTCGACGTTCAGGAGCTTCTGGTAGCCGTCAGTGACCATCTCTTCAGACAGCCGAGAGTTGCCTGCGCCTGCCATGAGGACATGGTCCGTTTTCTTAATGTACTGATTTAGTAGCTCTTGGAGGCCGGCGTAGCGCTGGTACCAGTCAAACTGCTCGGCGTCTCTATTTATGACAATTGTCAAAAATAAAAAATGGCAAGATTGAAAAAAAGGTCAAAATTAGATGCGATAAAGACCAGTCATGGTGATTGCTGTGTGGCCTTTTTTGACCAAATTGTCATTAATTCATGCAAACGCAACTAGACACGTCTAGACCGTAAGAGTTGGACGAGCACGTACCGCGTGTAACGCTCGTCCCAGTAGGTGGCTTTGCCGTATTGCGCCATAGTAGAACAGAGCAGAGAGCGAAGAAGAGAGCGAGCGAGCGAGCGAGAGAAAGACTGGGGGTTGCTGTGTGTGTTGCCGCTTGTGTGCGCAAAATGACGGACGGTACCGGTCAAAAATGAAGACACTGACGTACTTAACGGGATCGCACCATCCTTTCTGGAACGAAGGCTTGCAGTCGGTTGCAAGAGCGTCGAGATAATTCGCTTTTTTGGGAGGGGTGAATTTCAGAGTGAATGTTCCGAGTAAAAAAGCGTTTTGTATGGAGAAAGCATGTTTTTTTGTCCTGGTGGGAGGACGTCATTTCGGCACAGCTCGTTTGTTGTTCCTCTCAAGTTCGAAAGTTGAACCCGTCTACTACCTTCTTCCTACGAAACGCGTGTGTTTCCTTTCTGAAAGGATCAAGTTGATTGCTCGCTTACTGGCTGAAAACACGAGGCTACTAACCACTCAAAAAACACTAACGGTACAGACCAAACAGACCAATAGAAGGCGCTTATTGCACGTTATGCACTAAACTAAGAACACTCATGACGTGTACGAAAAGGAAGTACTAAGCAGTGCAGTGGTATTGCAATGTCGGCAAGTGACCACGACTCACAACAAAACGTCGTTCTAGTTCTAGCAGCCTCCTTCTAATTGTATACCATGTGTCAAAGTAGAGCAACCCACTTCCTAGTAGCCCTCCCTCATACTAGATTTGGCCCATTCAGATGGACCACGTCGACACGACCTCTCGAAATGCTTCGATAAGCCAACGCGTTTTCCTACTTCTCCGATAGAGGAGTCGGGTAGTAAGCGTAAAGTGCTTGATGCTGATTTTCAGAAACCAAGGTGACCTGGTTGAACCACTCGCAGAGGCAGTTGACGTCGATGGTCGGTAATGTGGAATTGAGTCAAGTTGAGTTGACCTCAATACCTTGGTACACGTCCTTCCTTACCCGTGACTTTCTTCTTCCATTATTGGATCGCCTTCGAACACGTGCAGCTTCATTGCTGGTCTTTCATGACATTCGTTTTGTCGCACCCTCTACCATTATGTGGTGCAAATCGATGTAACTCAGAAATACTTCAAGTCTGTCCTTCATCCTGTGTGACTTCTTGAACCATATTTTGAGGTATGCCTGCTATTGAATGCGCTGCTCGTTTGTAATTCATACAGTGAGAACAGCAACCGAGAAAAACGAATCTGCTGACAGTTCTAAAGAACTAGAGCGAGATAAACTGTATCGGCCAACACCCGTGTCATATCCCGGTGTCGTCTGTTAAAATCCCAGCCGGATCAGGCCTTGACTGACCATCGTTTGTGTGTGGCGATTACCCACGACCGTCGCTACTAAAGGCACCTTCATAGTAAAGCATCTGCTCCAATACCAACTTTTGTATCTCGCCACACCTGCTGCCTCTATCAGCCAAAATTCTGCCATACCGGCGCGTTTCCCGTCCTCAGCTCGACTATCAGCATCCGACTGACACTTTTACATATCCCGTACTGCCCGACTCTGTGTTTCACACCCTTCGACCATAAACCATTGTATTACACCCAAACGAGTCATTCCAGCTTGCATGGATTTTTCTTCATGCACCTGTAATCGACGATGTCTTGGCAAGCTCTTCTTCAACACACTGTCTCTTCTGAGCCAACCTCACTTCAATCTTTGCGTCTGTATGTTTTCTCCAAGGCCACGTGCTGATGAGTTTTCCAAGAAAACACCCTGTCACCAACTCCAATCATCGTTTCTCTCGAAGACGTGGACCCGTTGTTTACTGATACGTCGCGATACTCATCGTTGCCTAGTAACGGTGTCCAGCCAACAATCGTCCAACAGTTCGACACTATGTGTCCAAATATCGCCACCACAGGTCTTGGTGACAAGAAGGTTCATGCAGTCCACGTTACATTGAGAGCAGAAATGGTCAATTGGTGCTGTACTGTCACTGCTTGCATCCACCCATCCTTGCACTCAGTTGAGTGTTTCGACGGAACCGTCGTCATCAGCACACAGGTGAAGTGGATACCGATGATAAGAGTACTCCGCTTTTGTCCGTGACCAGTTGTGATGTAACTTTAACAACGCTGTACATTCATCGGCACCGGTGCGTGTCATGGAAGCTGCACCTACATTGGATACAGAGTGATAACTCGAAGACGTCTTTGATGCTAGCACACCAGAGACGGCTTACCGAGGCATCGACATGTTTAAGGCGATTGCATTCCGTTTTTACACTTCCCTCAAACCCAACACGGTATGGCGCTGATCAATGTGCGACTACCCTCGCGATCGATTGCACATGTTTGTGGTGCTAGCCATTTACTTGTTTTAACCGCAATCGCGGCTGCTATCGCCGACAACTCTTGACCTGGGTGTCCCACTGGATGTGACAGCGCGGATCTCGTGTTTGCTTCAGCTGCATCTCCGACTGTCATCCCCACAATTCCCATGTGCTAGCGCTTTGCATAATGACCATACAACAGCTTCAAATTCAGTGCCGCCAACAGAGATACTCATCCAAAGCTGTTCGCTCCATATCATCAAATGTTCTGTTCTCTGGATGGACGCGTGAGTGCCCCACTTTCATCTGGCGGCATTGCTTCCTCGCGGATGGCCGTGATGGCTTCTACGAATCCAATGCGCGCGTCATTGTGCACGATGCCAACAAGAAACGCTGTCGTCTTTAGTAGCAGCTGGAGCCGATCTCGTGCGTTCACAATTGCCAGCATGATGCCTTGCCGTCGCAGCTCAGACTTCAGATGCTTCATCATCTGGATTGTAGTAGTATCCCAGTCCATCATGGAGCCTGCATCAATGACAACACCACGGACAACCGCTCCTTCGGTCTCATACCGCTTGCGCACCTCACGTTCCACCACGCGCTCAATGTACTCACAATTAGCAAAGTACAGTGCACCTTCCACTCGAATCGCCACGACGTCAGAAAATGGGCGAGCTGTATCCGGATACAAATCCAAGTCCACCACGCGCTTCTCCTGGGTCTCTTCATCAGTCACCTCGCCCAGCGTCGAGATGATAGGTCGACGAGTTTTGTAAATCACGGCAACCAACGAGCAAAAGATGGAGGACAGTAGTCCAGGCAGCACACCCAATAAACATGACAGCACAAACGATGCCAACCACACGTAAAACTCGTCCCGCTTCACGCGATACAGCCACTTTGCTTCCTTCAGCTCGATCAGCGAATAGCCCGCGACGATGATGATCGAAGCTAAGCTTGCTTTTGGCAGGTAAGCCAGAGCTGAAGTAGCAGTGTACAGCACCGTCACTACGACTAGCACTGTAATCACACTTGCAAGCTGCGTGCGTGCATTCTGCATATTTACCGCGGTGCGTGAAAGACCTCCAGTGGAGGGCATTCCCTGGAAAAACGATCCAACAAGATTGGAGAAACCCAGAGCCAAGAGCTCCTGGTTCGGCCGGATCCGGTAGCCTTCTTTGATAGCCAAACGCTTCGCCATCGCAACACTACACATGTACGAGATGATGGCGATCGAAAGCGTGTCAATGAAGAGATGGTATAAGCGGTCGGCGTCAATGATGTCTTCGCTAAAACCATACCAGGGCCTCTTCAACGACGGATAACCACCTGGAATGTCTCCAGCAAGCGCCAGAGAGCCTTCAGGGGCCAAATAACCCACGATGCCACCAAGCAGACAAACCATGAACGCACCCAAGTCACACACTAACCTCAGCGCGACGAGCAAGGCCATTTTGGAGCGCAATAGCCGAACTGACGTCGACGATGCCGCCAACATGCGTCCTGTTAGTGCAGTACTGGAGTCTGCCATTTCTGATCCAGCATCAGACTTCGCAGGCGATACAAGCTCTTTCACACGTCGCTTCATCTCGGCCTCAGCTTTCGCATTAGCATCCTCATTATTGCGACGATCATCGCCGCCATGGGCTCGACGAGGTGTCTCCAACCTTAACTGCATCAAAGAATTCATCCGTGGCCGCGTTCGTGCCAAACCTGCTTCATCCGAGTCCGAACGCTGCAATCGGTCAGCTGCACCAGGGTGACTACCAAAATCCAGTGGTCTCTCAACTGTAATGTAATGTTCGTCCGATAAAGAAAACCCCACACCTTCGTCGTCCATGCGCGCGTGACGGGTGCTTCGAGTCATTGCTGTTATATCCCGGCTTCTGCGCGTCAAAGCTTCCCAAGGAGAAGCTGTCAACACGTCCTCTCGGCGTCGAATGGATCCTGTCGTCGACACTAAGGGCAAAGCAGCCCACTTTGATTCACCAGACGAGCCTTTCGTGCCCGAGTCCAGTCCACTATTACTCCGTCTCAGCTGTCGATTTGTCTCGTGTTTCAATACTTTGCCCATTCCATCATCATCCGTACAACTTGCAGCTCGTTCTCTCTCCTCGTCCTCAGTAGCTCCATGATCTCCAACACCATCATCCTCAGTTTCCACGTCACCATCCGGCTCTTCGCCCACTGACTTGGTGCTAATGGACAACTCATTCAGCGCTCGTGACGTCTCAATAGCAAACTGGTCCTCCACTTCTTCTGCCAGATTGGCCAGCTCCGTCACAATCTTCCTCTTCAGCTCGTGCATCCCCACCAGCACTAGAATCGAGACCGTCCCGAGCACAAAACTCAATACATTGAGGGTTGTAAACTCCTGGAAGAGATCCAAAACCGTCAGCAATGGTAGATCCCTGCTTTTAGTGTCCAGCCCGAGCCAGCTCGCCACCTGAGATAACATAATGAGTACACCACCAGCAGAGAGGAAGCCGCCCATAACCGGTCGAGAGAAAAAGTCGGCAATGACTCCAAGTCGAAATACACCCATGAACACCAGCACGAGGCCACTTAGAAAACTCAAGACAATGCCCGTCGCAATGCGTTCTTCTTCACTTTCCACCTTCTTGATAGCAGAACCCACTAATAAGCTCACTTCAGCCCCATTAGCGACCGATAAGACTCGAGAGGTGCCAAATAGCGGGTAAATCATTGGCACAACTGCTGCTGTATAGAGCCCGTAAATAGGGGGGACCCCCATGATAGCGCTGAGGGATACTTCCTGGGGTACGAGCATAAGGCCAACGGTAACCCCGGATACCACGTCATATTGCAAGTCTTCACGCATATCGTAAGCGGGTAACCATTCTAAAATGGGTACATACTGCTTCAGAAAGAAGTGGACTTGCGCACGGGTTACGCTTCGACAACCTTCGTATACCGACGTCCACAGAGACGAGACGAGCACCGTCGCACTGCGGAGCGATCGGTCATTAAGGCGAGGGGGCATTGGAGGAGAGGATGTCGCCATGGACAACGTCTACGTGGCTACGGAACGCGTGTCGCCTGAAGACTTTCCAGCCTGGTCGACGACTGACTGCCGACGCGATGGACGTCTGGGATGGGTAACCCTCTATTTAACGATATGGCAATGTCGGAGTGGAATATAGGTCTTCCAGCAGGTTCGGCAAGCGGTTACTGCTCGCTCACCGGTATACCGCTAGAATGTCGGCTTTCCTCGATCAGGGAAGGAACAAATGCAGCGAATGCTACGACTACAGAGGGTGCTACGAATGCATTCGGAATCGAATCCCGTTGCAATGCTCACCGCTTAGCTTTTTCTTTTGATTGATGATGTGCGATGGGGCTTAGCTTTCCTTCTACTTCTTCTCGTGTACGATTTTTTTTATGTCGTGGCGACCACAGCGATAATTTCTGTCATTTCCACCCTGGGTTGGTATGAGTGTAGCGTAGTGTTTGACTCTACTAGGCACAGTAAAGGCTTTACGTAGTCGCACGAGCCAGCACATCTATACATCGCTCGCGATCGAAGCAAAGATAGGGCTTCATGAACAAACACCTGAATAAAGGATTACAAATGCATGAGTAAACTCTCGAGAGCATCCGAATGAAGCGAAAAACGTCTCGGGTTGAGAGAACTATGTAAAAAACTGGTCTTCTGCTTGAGCTAAGCTCAGAAATTGTAGCGCACCAGTCTGCACCTGCAAATTATAAATACATGGGTCCATCAGCTTTAGCGGTCGCAGTAAGGGAGTCTAGACAGTGATGTGATACGTCCAATATCAAATACCTCCATCGGGCACCATTAGCACAACGCAGCCACCCCCTTCGTCTTACCTTTCGACCTGGTTCAGTGCAGTGCAGTCAGCTGGCTTCTTTCTTTGGCTCAAGTTGTTGTCGCCGACCTTGGCGAACGAAAGTCACTCGATTGTGTTGCAACTCTCGGTGAGGCTGCAACATACTATGTAATACGTGCCAGTCTTCTAAATGAACGATTCCTTCAACAGTTGCTCGCACAAGACACTCGAGGTGGACAAAGAGACAACAATATAGACGCTCTGGGCCTGCTCACGATGTTGTACATCGTTGTGTCCGATAAGTTAGCCCCTATCACGTTTTAAACTCCGATAAGCTGTCAAATCTAGCGTCAATCCAGCGCTTTCATTAGCCTCTGGTAGCCAGATATGACTAGAATGGTCGATAGAGCCATTTGGAAGAAGACAGTATCACATCGTTCGCTCGTTGCAGGATGACATGCTCACAAAATACACTTGTCGATGATAACGTGTTCTATCATTCCCATAAGAACCTTTTGTCGGGCTCCTACTCCCCACACCTTTTTAGCTTGAGTCCGGATTCCACCGCGCAGTGGATATCTTGAGCTAAAAGTCAGCTTCCCAATAAACGGACACTCATCTTAGCATCGGAGCCAAAGCTGTGACCGACTCAGGGCACTCTCAACAATGGAGTGTTTCGAGTTCAGGTTGTAACAGTAAACTACAGCAGTTTGAGAGGTACCATAACTTTGGGATACATGTAGACAGTAAGCGGCACAAGTTTGCGAGCAGATGCAGACATGGTCAAAGAGATGCGATACGTGTGAGGGAACATCAAGGGAGTGAAGGGATGGCCAAGATGTTAATCATATGGACGAGGAAAGCTTTCGTCGAACTTTGGATAGCAATATCAGCTTCCGACTAACGTCTTCTGTCTTGGTCAATGGATGGTGCCGATTTCTAAGAAAATTGCGTGTGCCAACAATGGACTACTACAAAGAGTTCGAGAGGAGCTTGTGGATCATGACACGCTCCTCGTCGTGTTCATATAACACCTCATAAAGTCACAGCAAAATAAGTTGGATACCAACGCTGTAGGATCACGACGGATCATTTTTGCCTGCAAACACCACTTCACTTCGCAACAGAAATGATCCAGCAGATGAAAAAGTGTATACTAACCACTACATGCACCCAGTTTAATCGGATAGACGACACCGTGCTGTCCTCTTAGAAGCAACCATTCACTAACGCGCTTAAGTAAATGGTGAGCATGATCGTAGGCGACAGAACCAGGATATTCATTTGCGGTCCAGAGGCCAACTCGGTCCCGTAAATAGTGTGCAGCGAAAAACCGAAAGAATCGGTGGTCATGAGAGCATATACTGGGTCTCAACAAAGTGTCGTGAGGAATAACGACGGCAGGAGCCGGCCAGCTGTACTGCGCAGGCTTCACCGCGCTCCCCTGTTGATCCATGATTCACCATAGCACCTGTCCTAGAGCATGCCAACCTGGCGATACACTTTCCAGTGACACCAGACGCACATATCTCGACACACCATCCAAAATTCCATGCCAAAAAAAAGTAGCGAGCCATTGGTGATTGCTCGCCACCACACAAGGATGAAGGGAACGGCCATCGTCATCGCTGTCACACAAAATGATTCCACCGAGATCATTAGGTTACCATCCACAATGCAATAGAAAGCTATTTGGAGTGCTAGACGTCACCTGGACTATTGCGCGCGTACACGACTCCAGCGCCAACATGAGCCGACATCGGTCGATCTTGTCACGACTTATCCCGTCCAGTTCCCCCACACTAGCTGTTACTTCCTTCCAGCACTCCTTACTAACATGACATCGAGAGGGCGCACAGACGTAAGTTCAAAAGATCACATCGCTACAAGCGCTTTATTGACAAAATCTACGGTACTTACTGGTACCGCACCGCACGTCTTAAACGATTTCTTCTTCGCGAATCTTGACGCAGAGCGGTACATTGCACTGCAAAAGATCGCAATTCATTGCGTGGTATGCAAACAACTCGGCTGTAATTCGGGCGAGTCGGTAGGAGCGCCACTTATCGCTATGCGACGCCCAACACACACTGCGCAGGAACCGCTTCATGTGTGGACAAAAATCATTTAGCTCAGGATCCGAGCACCGTACTTCGTCGCAGTTACATGCGTGGATCAGCAACGCGTTGCTTTTCCTCGGGTCTTCTTCCAGTGCCTGCGCAATCTATTCAGCACGAAAGCAGCGGCATGCAGCATCAATATACACAAGCACAAGCAGCAGAGTCGCTTCAGATCACTATGTGCGTGACGTACATGGATCGACGCTGGGTCACTGTTTCCTCCTGTTCCGTCCAGAAGCACGTTTCCACCACCATCAGCTTGGCCACTCGAACTTATCGTTGTTGTCGCCCTTGTATCCACGCTAGCTGGCGGTGACAGTGACCTCAGAATAACCGGCAGCGCTTGCACTGCTTTCATCATCAGCAGCAGCTGTTGGCGGTGGTTCCTGCTTCACCCTGTCATCATAGACATCATCATACTTGGCGCTGCATGTGGGACAGAACCACGTTCCGTCCGGAACCTCGAGCAGTGGCGGATCCAGACACGAAATGTGGAACTCAGCGTCGCAGTCGTCGCATAGAATGATTGCGTTCTCCTGGTCCGAGTTCCTGCAGATTTCGCACACCGTCAGCTTTGCTTGGTCGTCCATTTTTTCTTCATCTTGTGCCGCCATCTCGACGTCCATTGGCTGCACTTGTTCCAGCACCGTCTGCCGCCGCGGCGTCTCCGACTCAAAATCACTCAGCTCGTCCATTGGGTTCACTTCTCGCGTATCCATTTCACTGGATGACTCGCTCTGATAATCCCGAGGGTCAATAAACTGCGGTGCAAAAGGTACAGACCCAGTTGAGCTCGGTGCTATGGATGTCGTCCCTGATATCGGGTCTATAATTTTACATAATTAACCAAAATTAGACCAGATTAGGTCCGATAGAAATAGAATATGTGACTTAGAAATACCATTAAAAACGTACGGTGTTCTGCTTTGATTACGACTGGGTCCGCTGCAGGTTCGTATCGAGAGCCGCCGCGGCTTGCATCAGCGCGCGGAGGCAGTTGGCCTGGACATTTCGACACGGTGAGCTTTACGAACGCATCGATACGCTTGAGATCGCGGTCTTGCTTCACAGCCTCCTCCCAGTTGAAACGCGCGCGCGTGACCGTTGCCATGATGTTCGCCGAAGTATGAGAAGACTTGGTGGTTACGTTTCTAAACCAGGTGCAGTTGTGGTGGAGTGGTTACGTTTCTAAAGCATCTGCTGTTTGGAGACACATAGTGTCCGGATACTGTGATTACCATGTCGATTAGAAGACCCGCCGCAGCTGCAGCTCGTCATAACAAAAAGACAGAAACGGAAGGGCTACTGCGATATTCGATCGAATATCACTTGCGGTAATTGACGTGCTTTTGTAGTGTTATAGTGATGTACCGAGCGTTTTCGACCTTTGCAATCGACGAACGAGACCTTCGAATCCAGAACCAGAGATTTCGTCGCCTAAAGGAGCCAGACTTTTTCTTCATTAAGTATCCGCGGCGATACGGCATTAGATCCGTAAATCGTGCGACTTTTATCCTGTGGCGTCTCCTCCAATGCAAAGAGCCGCTAGCAGATATTCACGCACACTTTCCCAGAGACAAAAGCTGCTCGGTAGTCAATTAGCTGCGCGACGGGGTATCTATCTACAAGGTTCCGGTCATATCAACAGCGCATCGTTTTGATGGAATTGAGTAGCAACTCGCCATGAAAGTGGCTGACTCTTTATGAGTGATATCTTGAACCGCTGTGACCGCTGCACTCTTGGTCAGCGTAGTCTTCTGAGGCAACTGCGGCGCCGAGCTTTTCTTCATCGGATCTTGACTTTTTTGGGTCTTGTCCTGCCTGAGGCAAACAAGTTGACCAGACGTGTTTTGTAGGAAAGTCTCCGGTGCTTGCAATGGACGGACACACGCTTTCACTTGTCTGCGCAATGCTGAATTGAGAGAGTGTTGCAGCGCATTCGTTTTGCTTTTTCTACGATTCGGGAGATCATGGATGCACTAAAACTGTGGTACTGCTGTAAGACGTGATGCAGTCGAGTCCGATGTTCATCTTGTTTTTTTCTAGGTACTTACTAGAGCTACATTGGCATCATCATTGATCACGCCACCATTGTTTCTGATGGAGGCTTTAGCAAGACAGCGACGGGTGATGGTGTTTTACATATTGGAATACTCCCGCTGCACTACCGCACTACTTGGCATCAAAATGAACGTGGTGTTTGCACTGAGCGCAAGCGTACGGATCATGACTAATCATCGATGGCTAAATGCTTTGGTCGTACAATTCGAAGCAGATTGGGGTTGTCATTCTGAAGATGGCCGTCCCATCCTTTTTCAGCATGGTAAGACCTTCAAGCTGGAATCGAAAGGGGGACTTGCTGCGAAGTTGTCGATAAACTGAAGGGCTACCCAATTGTTGCGACAGCAAGTGAGCTATCGTTGCTTCCACTCCCATCGTCCATGTAACATGTTCAATGTTGATACCGACTGGAACTGTCAGGTGCTAAAGCACCGCAGCAATACCGAATGCTCACCTACTTCGTTACGTGAGCCATCAATAGCTACGTTACCGTGACAACTCGTCGCTCGCATCTCGACTTCAGAAAAACACAACTCAATCAGCTAAATCCGTCACTCTTGTGGCTCGAGAATCCACTGTTCCTGCATACACGAGGGCTCCACCTAGAAGATGCAACTCTTCTCCAGCGATGCATACCATAATGACACACTCACGACAAGAAACAACAAAGAGACGTCCAGCTTACGGCAGCTTTTGAATTTGTATCGCAGCATTTAACCACGCAGCCGTCGACACATGGGCACGTTGCACTGCGTCGACTGACAGTGCAGTGCGTGGTACGTAAAGAGCTCAATAACGACAGTAGCAATGGGGTACGACCGCCACTGCTCGTTATGGGAGGCCCAACAGGCTGCGCGCAGGAACCTCTTCATGTGTCCGCACAAACTCCAAAACTCCGGGTCTTCACACTGGACGTTGTCGCAATTGCACGCATGAACGAGGAGCCGGTTACTGCGACTCTGTGCATCGTGGGGCACTGCTGCTTCCGACGCAGTGGAGCTCTAGCATATGTTACAGCACGGATGACCGCCAGTGTGACCAGTTAGTTATGGTACATTATAAAATCAGGACTTGCCACGCGAATTTTGACCGCGGTAATGGTACTTAACCACCTCATGCTCGGCGTTTCTCTCGCTTGGACTTGCGGGTTCCACTCGTTCGTGTTTCAAACGGACGTCCGGCATTGGCTGCAGGGTGGAAGAAGGAAGCGGCGTTTCGACTTCGGCGTTGACGGGCTTAAGGTCGGATTCGAGCAATTTATACGTTCGAAAAAGGGTGTGGGTGTGTATTTCGTTAAGTGCGTCTGACGGAGGACCGAACTTACGAAGTGCTTGCGGGGGCTCGTCCACGAAAATTGCGTCATTGGTGAAGAAGTGCCGGTTGGGGAAAAAGTATCCGAGATCGGGTACAAAGTCGTGTACATTGATTGGAATGAGAGCTGTCAAGCGGAGGAGAGATTGATTGATGGCGTGACGCAAGAATACGCTGCATACGTTGGTGTTTGTTTCGTTGTTTGTTTCGTTGCTGCTCTGAGATAGAGTGCAGACCCTTGCATGATATGCGTCTTCGTTGGTTTATTTCAAGGTGTGAATACGTGAAAAAGAGATGTCGGTTGCAATTCAGCTGTAGTCGAATCATGGACAGACTACTCGTGCCCTTCTGCTACAAGTAACGATCGGTCAGATAGACCGTTAGTGGTACCCACCATTGATTTTGTCAGGGGAATCACTCAGTACATACGTCGGCCTGAATCGTGTCCACAACTTGAAAATTCGGCACCTGTCGTCGTGGGCGAGCACCAGCGGCTCTGTGTAGTCAGCGCCAACAGCGTTTCATTCGGCAGTAAACTGGCTCCGTGACTGCGTGCGTCTTGGTTTAGGCATCTGTTCTACAAGGACGGGGTGTGCTGCAGGATGTGCGTTGGTAGTGATGACGACAGGTCGTTTCGTTATTACATGCAACACGCAGGTGAGACATCAACATTTGCGAAATTTCTCAATGTATCACCGTGAAGCTGAGCGCATGCGACGTCAAGTTGTGCATGTCCGTTCATATGCTATCCACCGTACCGTAGCGGCCGTCTGTAAGTAATCCACGTAAACCCCTCTACACTGCTGCACGTACTTTACAAAAATAACGTAGCCGCTTCACGTCGTTAACGCAGATCCGCATGATCTATTCACGAACGGTTCTCCTGCGTTGTGATTGTCCGATCGGCATTGCTCAAGTAACGGAACTGTGTCACAGTGACCGAAAGCGATCTAAAGTGGCCAAGACCTATTTTATCGAACATTTTTGCGAATTACGACGCTTGTTATTGCACCGCAGCAGTTCACTGCTGCTGCTGGCAGCAAGACATCTATCTGCAGCGCTGCCGATAGCCTCAACTAGAACTTCATAGGTCGTTATGATGAGTGGCATATTATGGTACGGCACAAGACCTGTCCTTCAATAATTGATCTGGCAACACGTTCGTTGAGCATCTTTGTTGCGCTGACGTGCTTTTTCTAGGCGGTTAATCGTTTCTAGAGGATGGGGGAGCAAGCTCAGGAGCTCGCGCTTTATTACATGTGATCAGAACAGAGAACAAAATCAAGTTCTAAATAGCTTCACACCTGTTTAGATGGCAAGAGACTGGAGTACCGGTGGTGCAATGGACGATAACAACTACTGTGTTTTGTTTGTAGTGGTGTGGTAGAGCTACCCGTTGCAGTTGTTGATCCGTTGAATCGAAGGATGATAGATAATAGAGAAGAAGGATGTCCTGTTCGGCAGCGCCGTCAACAACAAAGTTGGGCCGACGACAGATGATTGATAAAATAACAAAGGATAAATTAGAGAGCTTCCTGTGCGTTCGAGCGAGGAAGGTGATCATAAACTCCAACTATTTAGATCGATTGACGTAGCGGGCTGAGCCTGTTACATGTAATTAAACCTTGATACTTGGTAATTAAAAGCTATCATGAAGGTTGATGATGTTCGTGAATATCACCATAAGAGGTAATATTCAGAAACACTCACCGATTAAATGATATGGGTGGGTCATCATATCAGTCAGACCTAGCGGTCCAGTCAACGATGGACGCGCGCAATGAGTGGTGAGCAAGACTTTAGCAAACATTTTTGTAAACAAATGATCAAGTTAGGACTCAAACAAAGGTTAATGATTACGACTTAATCACATTCAATACAGGTTTACTTTTACCAGCAACTAGTGAGTTCTTAATTGTCTTCCCTTCCTCTGCATAGTTTACAGAGGTAGCGAGGCACCAATCACGCTGCTGTTGGTGATAGTAGCTCCACACTGGTTGTCCAGTGTGTTGCTCTGGTGCCCCGTTACACCTGGTAGCACTTCGTAGTCCGTCTAAGGACCACAAAGAACGTTCAACATGAACATTTTGGATGGCAAAGGCGATATCACCTTTCATGGCACCCGTGAAAGCTCCTTCTATTTGAGTGATATCGAATAGAATGCGATCGAACGAATGAGGTCGACCGTTGGCGGAGAAACTGAATGGTCTCTGCTATCCTCAAGAGATAGGGGTCAGCAGCAATCCGTAATCGCCAAGTTCTTGTTACGAGAACATGACGCGTCGCGAGCTGAAGTGAACCTGCTGCATCGGCGAGGTCACCAGCAGACTGATCTTCTGAGACAGCAACCGTCTCAGTCTGCTTCTGCAGCGTTGACACGAGACCCTTAAGTTAGAAGTCTGTAAGTACCAGGGAGTCGAGAAATGTACCTTGTTAAGATGGTTTCTCAAAATGGAAGATGCCATTGAGGATTGCCACATGGACGATGAGGCAATGCAAGTTGCATCTGCCAAATCGCAATTTTTGGGGCGTGCCAGAACTTGGTCCCTCAATCTTTAATTACGCGATCCAAACGTGTTCGGATCATTGGCGGTATTTAAGATTCTGTCAGCCTTTCGTTTGAGCCACCAAGATCTAAGTTCAGTACTCTTACAGAGATCCTGACGATAAAACAAGGTAAGCGTGAAGTTCACGCTCACGTTCAGCACGTTCGTTATCTTGCAAGTTGCATGGTAGCAAACCCTGTTGAGAAATCGTGTTGATCATGATACTCTTACGGTCCTCATAGATGTTTCCGTGAGGAACCACCCGTTCCGCATCGAGTTGAAGTCGCTTGAGGGAGCACTTACAACTGACGTGCAAGAGGACTTAAGTACAAGACAGGCTCACACTAGCTTGACCCCCTACCTTCCTTTAAGACTAGTAGATGCGGGAGGTCCAGAATTAATGTATCTCTGCAGTGTTAATAGCAAGAGATCTCGCTATCAATCAGTAAGCAATTGCAAAAGTGCAATTGCTGTCAGAAGTTTGGTAACCACGCCTACGAGTGCAGTGCTACACGCCCAGCGTGTCGAGATACTAAGCAAGGTGATCGACCGTCTGCAAGGAAGGGCGACGAACGCGGGTCCAACACTGTTATGAAGTCACAACAGTGTGGCTAACCGTCAGAAAGCGGTCGGGTCAGTAGGGGCGGAGTGATCTACTGATCCAGCAACCTTAAAAAAATTGCAAATAAATTGATGAAAATTGATCCGGACTCACAATCCTTGTGCGTTTCTGCACTAGGTGATGAGATGCTTCTCATCCCCTTGAGCTTAGAAGTGGCAAAAGAATTGTCGATTCGTGCCCTAGTTACATCTGGGGCGTCGAACAGGTTTAATTTTTCCTAGTCGCTAGAGAATCGTATGCTCAAGTTAGTCGAGCGTGTTACTCCTTCTACGAGAATGATGGGGTGCCTTGCAACATGCGCATCCGTAACAGTGAAAAATGCGTAGTAGAATTTCTACTGCACGCCAGAAGATTTGCAGTACGATGACGATTTCATCATGCTTGATTAGAATGACAATTTTGCTGTAATCCTAGGTTTGCCTTGGTTTAATAATTACGAAACAAGGGTCAGCTATCAGTATCTGATCGTGAAGATGCCTGACACATGTTCATCAGATGGCCATCTGATATACGTCTTGGAGCGTCCACAAGCGTGTAGATGTACTGCGAGTGAGTGCGATGGCCTCACTTGCGGTGCGGTCGTTAGTACGACTACACAATATTTTAGTGTGACAACCAATCACACTAAGGAGGAAGCTGTCGGTGTCTGTGCGGATGCATAGGCAGCACCGAAGATCCACCCCTCACACAAGTCGAGTGGGTTGGGACGTGGTCGTACGCCTCTCAGGTGACATCCAAGTAATGATTAACTAGTTGCCCACATGGGGCAGAGTGATGATCCTAGATCGACTGGAGGGTCGATCGTAGAGGTCCTAGCTGTGGTAGCGCAACCACATATAAAAGACACTGAGGTGAGAGTTCCCCACGTAATTAAAAAGACCTTCTCAAGCATACATTGGTGAGGTAATGAGACCTCATCAGCCTGCTAGAAAAAGTCCACGGCGGTCTGTGGAAAGGATTTCCATGAAGTAACCTAGACATTGAGGTCTTAGTTAGATTTGATCTTCAACGAGCTAGTTGAACTCCATAAGTCCGCTAATTACAGTTGCTTAGGCTTCATAGTCGCTTATCTCTTTTTTTGCTGCTTCAAGTCGGATTAAATGCTCACATTGTTTCAATATGTTTCTTTATATGCTACACTTCGTTTAGTTTCATTTACCAGATCATTTATATGCTAATGTGTACTACGCAGCGATCGCGCGTTCATCCAGCCGCTTGACCATTGAAGCACTTGCACCTAGCAATTTGATAATGGGTAGTGGCGGAATAAGTAAGATACACAGTAGCCGAGATAGTTTGGTCAAAGTCAAATACGCTATGATTGAGGTTTCTGTATGTGCTGAACGTGAGCGTTTGAACCCTTGCAATTTTGTTTAAAGAGCTTGTGTTGAAGGCACATTGATCGGATACATTGTCTTTTGCACCCCACCCACTTAAACACCCGCGCAAAGTCCTGGTCTTCGTATGTGGCGTTGAATATGTGAGAAAATGAATTGTTGGTTGTTTTAGATTACAAGCTCCTCGGTAGAAAATCACTTGCACTCTCCACTGAGGATTGCCATGTTGGGCTCCCCCACGCCTGAACGAGTGTAAGTCAGCTTACTTTTCACACCTGTGTGGTGTAGAGATTTTTGACTTGGTATCCGTCGAATTGGTTAAAAGTCAAAACTCGTCGAGCTAGTAATAGTCGAGTTCAGTCTCGTTG